CGTGCACAAAAGTTTAGTGCGGTAAATCTCCAGAGGAACTACGTCAGCTTCGAGGCAGAGAGAGTGCGTTGATGTTGAGGTTGGGAGCCCTGTGATGATGCGAAGGGCACGGTGGTGGTCCATTTTCATCAGGTGAAAATCATGATTCAGCAGGCACGGACCGTACACGCCAATGCCATAGAGGAAGACGGGGAGAACGTACGCAAGGTAGAGGGATCTGAGTGACCTCGATTGAGCTGAGGTAATTGCGTTCGCGATGCTCTTCATGTTGGACAGTCTTGCGTTAAAGCGTAACCGGATGTTCGAGACATGATCAGTGAACGTCAGGCTCGAGTCAAAGATGACCCCTAGGAAGCGCGCAGATCTAACATTTGAGAGCAGCGGGGCGGACGTAAGGAGGACGTTTTGGAAGGCATAGAGCGGATCACGGATAGTTGCAAGGCTTGTAACATCTAAACCATTGCACTGGAGGATTCGGTGGCCATCAATAGACGTGAGGTGTGGGTCGTTGAACTTTTTTGCCTTGGCCGAGAGGCGAAATGTACAAGTCGCAGCGTCAATGAGATCAGAAGGATGCAGGCCGAGATCACTGAAGACCTGAAGCGAGAGTCGGGAGTTGGCAGCGGTTGATGGGAAGTGAACAGCAATGGTCGTAATGGGATCAGACGGAAGTACCGGGTAATAGATGAGATGCGTCTTGCTCACCGACATGTCCATCTGAAACTCCTGTGCCCACTCATCGACGACAGCGGTGACTTTTTGGGCAAGTGTCTGCAATTCTTCATCAGAAAAGGCGCTGCAGACAACCGCTAGATCATCAGCAAAGAGCGTGAAAACCAGACCGGGAATGAGGGCTTCGAGTCTCTCAGCCAACGGGTCAATGTAACAGAGGAAGAGGGTTGGAGCCAGCACAGTCCCCTGGGGAACACCTTTCACGATGCTAAAGAATTTACCTAGTACCCCATTCACCTTGGCAGCCGCGCGGCGGCCATGCAGAAAGTGCAAGATCCAACGTTTCAAACGCCCCGAAATGGACTTCGCGCCAAGCTGGTTTCCCAGTATGGTCTTATCGACCTTGTCGAAAGCCTTCGATATATCCAGGAGTAGAAGCGCAGACTTCTTTCCTGCAACGCGTGCTTGGGCCAAAGCGTGTTGTACAGTTCCTATTTGCTCTTCTGCGGAGCGCCCCTTCTGGAATCCTGCTTGCGACGGGTGGATTGGACTGTCCAGCAGCGCCCGGTTGAGACGAACCAGTACCATCCTCTCTGCCAGTTTCGCAACGCAGCTTGTCAAAGCGATAGGGCGATAAGAGTCAACGTTCTCCGGTGTCTTACCAGGTTTAATCTGCATCAGAATGTGCGCCTCTTTCCAATTGGGAGGCACAATTCCCTTTGACCACGTGAGGTTTATCAGCCGCAACAAAACTTGCTTTGAGCGATCGCCAAGGTGGATGAGCATCAGGTTATTGACCCCATCAGGGCCAAGGCTGGTCGAAGGTTTGAGTTCAGCAATAGCCGCGTCAAGCTCCGACGGAAGGAATGAGAAGTCCAGTTGGTGAGTAGAGGAGTCAATCGGCAAAGTGTTCGTTTGCCCTGAGCATGTAGCTGCTAAGTGGCTGCCCATTTCTGATGCCTTTGCTCTGTCGTCATACTCAAATTGACCATTAATAAGGAGTGGTGGGATAACAGGGTCATTCTCCACATCATCAGCGGACTGCATTAGCCTGTGAAAGTCAGACATGGTGGAGGTTCGGGAAAGCGAGGCTGCCGTCCTGCTAATGTGATCAGACTTGGCTTGGTTGATGAGGCGATTTATCTTCTGCTGTGCGGCCTTGAGCTGGATTCTAACGTCATCAGGCGGTCTGTTACGATCAGCAAGGTCTGCGCGTAGACGATCCCTTTCTTCAATCGCAGTACGCACTTCGCTGGTGAACCAGGCATGACCACGTCTGGATGTCGAAGTCGGTATATGGCGATCCCTAGCAGCACGTAAGGACGCCGAGAAGCGTTTGGATATTTGAGCAATGTCGTTGACCGGGAGGCCTTCAAGCAGTAGGTCAGCAGAAGAGCCAAAAGCTTCCCAATCTGCCTTGTTCCACCTGAACGGCTTCGGCTTCACTGTAGGACGGGTGAGGTTGGAGGGAATGTTGAGAATCATTGGTGCGTGATCGGAACCTCCATTTACGTCGAGCGTCTTCCATGTGAAATCTAGGCCGTGCGGTGAAAGAACCAAGTCAGGCGATGTCGACGAGTGTGGTCGAGTTGATACAGCAGGATTGTTGCAAACAGTCAGGTCGGAGCAAAGGATCCAGTTCGCGAGAGACGAACTCCGCGTGTTTGGAAGTGATTGTGCCTCCCAGAGCGGGTGGTGCAAGTTGAAATCACCAGCAATAACAGCATTGCTGAACGGGAGATACTGAGGATCAAAGTGATCTGTACGCGAGTCATGTCTAGAGTAGGGCGGTATGGGTGGTTTGTAGATATTGACAGCTAAGAGTCTTCGGTCGTCAGGTAGAGCGAGTTCAACATCAAGTCGTTCCGTCGCATCGTCGGCGCAGGGAGAGCTGTAGACAAGACGCCGGTACGCGATAGTGTTCCGAACAAGGGTGATTAGCCCTCCACTTACTCTACGACTGCTGGAGCCCGGGTTACGTTCAATTATTCTGGCTTGTTGCTCAACGTTGAAACCAAGTACGGTCACTGTAACGTCGGAGGGGAGGTTGGTTTCTTGTAAGAGTACAACATCAATGCCGTGCTTGGCAATTAGATCCAGAATAAAGTCACGTCTCCGGACCCAGCTATTGCAGTTGAAAATTAGAAAGCGAAGTCCGAGGTAACAGGCTGTTGTCACCGGGCCAGGGTGGGGGTGAATATCACCACATCTCAGTAGTAGCAGGCCGTGTGGGTTCGTCCGCGGGGAGCACGAGGTACAGCTTCTGGAACTCAAGAAGGGGATACGTGGACAGTTGTGGGTGGAGTCAGGATCTAGTTTTGTTTGGAAAGCTCGGCGATGATAGGCAGGAGATGGTTTAGAATCCAAGTTTCGTTGCAAGCTGGGTCACTTGGCGGAGTTGTTGTGAAGCTTCGGGCCTTTCTTCGCAGCAGCCAAGGACTTAGTCTCGGATTCCGGAGAAGTCGAATCTCTGCTTCTTTTCGGTCCAGTCTTGGCGCTCTGAATTTGGGCCCTCGGGGAGTCGGTGTTGGTTACGGCGGTGTTGTTTTTCTTCATTCTTATTTCAGTCTGGAGGTCAGTGAACATCGAGCGCATCTCAGAGTGACTGCCTTCGACGACACCTTTCAGTGTTAATGCCATATTCGCCGAGAGAGACTCTACAGCCGCGACAAGGTCCCCTTTGATCTCGACACGCAGCTCGTCCATCTTCCTCGAGCTCTCCTTTTCGAGGGCAGTGATAGAGCGTTGCTGATGATTCAGCGCTCTCTCGAGGTCTTCCTTCGTAACATACTTCGAGGGACTGAGGGTTGTAGCGGAGGGCGACGCTGCTGCAGCTGACTTGGAGGCCACAAGAGCAGCTGAGTACGACTTGGTGATGGTATGGTTTGGTCGGTCGGAGGAGGACAGACTCAGCTTAACGCCGTCGACTTCAAATGCAGAGGCAGTCTGCGGGGTCAGACTCTTGACATGCCAGAATTGGCCCGCTTCGTCGTTCCCCGGTCGGATCGGTGTCGATTCCCATCCAGCTTTTCCCAATGCCTTCGTCAGCTGGCTCTTGTTTACGTTCTCCGGTGCACCGCGAACCTTGTAGTAGTGGGTCGTATCGGGCGTCCCTTCGAGTATTGCCGCCACCCTCTCTTGCTCGGCCGCCTCAACGCGGAGTCCAAGACCAAGTTTCGTCACTACAAGGCCCCAGTGCTCGACTCCACTCGCTTCGACCTTCGTCCACACTTCCGCGGCGTTCTCCCGTTTGTCGTCCCCGTTCAGCCACACCATCGCAAATTTGCGGCGTTGGTCATAGGTGCTTCTGTTCATTAACTGATTGGTGAACAGAGCTTCCCTACCAGAAGCCCGCAACAAGCCTTCGATGACCGGAACCCTGTCGAAGTAAAGGGCATAGTACACCCTGGAGCCGGGCTCCCCCTTCACCTTTGGCTGGACAACTCGTCCTTCAGATCCAAGTATGCAGGACAGGCGCTTTTCGATTTCCTTGGCGATGCTCCCATGTTGAATTTGACCTGAGACAGCCTCGTGCAGCTGGAGGACAATTCCAGCCTCTTTGTCAGCAGTCCAAACGTTGGACATATTACCGGTCGGAGTTCGTGACAACTGTCTTTGTTACTAACGTTTTTTCTTGGGCACGAAATCGTTCTCTACCGTTGGCCAATAAAGTACAGAAACTGTAGCTTTTAAATCGTTGTTCCAGTGGAACTTCCACTCGCTACCAGTAGACAAAATGTTGTCAATTGCCTCGTTCAGTGACAGTGTCTAACACAGTGACTGTGCTCCAGATATGGTCGGCAACCCGAGCAATGGGCTCGGTTTAGTCGTTAGTCAAAGAGCTGACCTGTGCCACCAAACACCCCCGATCCGGCCGGCCAACGCAAGAAGGCCGAACGGAATCGGAACAAACGTTGGTAGAGTAGACTAGCACAATGATACGTCGTTGAATGATCCACATGTCTTAGAAACTAGGACGGTTGGCTTCAGGCAGCTACTAGTTAGTCTCGGGCGCTCCACCTGACCTACCCGGCCCCACTAGAAGGCCTTCATGGGGGGATCAGTTTGCAGGAAGCCCCGACAATCGAATTCCTCCCCGTTTCCATTTTTCTTTCAGTATCAGTTCAGTTTCTAACCCGACAGTAAACCCGGCCCAGTGAAGCCGTTGCCTACGGGCGTCGACATGAAAAAAAAAAAAAAGTTTACAGCACACAGTGTCTAACCTGCGTGGCATGTTACTTGACAGTAACACGGCCCAGTAAAGCCGTTTCCCGCCGTGTCGGGTGTCAACAAAAAAAAAAAAAAAAAAAAAAAAAGTTTTGCATATTGCCGCTTTAGCTCAGCTGGGAGAGCGTCAGACCGAAGATCTGAAGGTCCCTGGTTCAATCCCAGGTGGTGGCATTTTTGCCAACCTGGGGGTGAATCCGTGAAATCACGAAATTATCAATTCCCGCAGGGTACGTTTTTTGACATTTGACCCCGACGAAACACAAAAAAACAAATTTTTACCATTCTCACACAAGTTTCAACTAACCTTACCATTTCACACGGTCGCAACAAATTTTCCGACTAGAGGTATGCTAATAGCTCTATCGAGCCAACCCCACTTTTTAGGGGGGGGTCCGCGGGCATTACGAAAAAGTGTCACAGATTTTCCGTCTGAAAAGCAGCCCGTTTTGGGTCAATTTTTCGAGACTGGAGGTCCTATGAACATGCAATGTGAATAGCCTCTATTCGAGCCAACCCGGCTTTTCTTCATGAAAGTACGTGCGCTCGGCTAAGGCCGGCGCGTGGCGAGACTGGAGGCAGCAGTTAAAGTTCGTGAGTTCTGGTGAAGCTAAGATCGGGCGAAACAAAGTTCGGGCGAAACAAAGTTCGGGTGAAGCAAAAAGTTCGGGTGAAGCAAAGTTCGGATGAAGCAAAGTTCTGGTGAAGCAAAGTTCGGGCGAAGCTAAGTTCGGGCGAAACAAAGTTCGGACGAAGCTAAGTTCGGCGAACCTAAAGCAAAGTTCTGGTGAAGCTAAGTTCGGGCGAAACAAAGTTCGGGTGAAGCTAAGTTCGGGTGAAGCAAAGTTCTGGTGAAGCAAAGTTCGGGCGAAGCAAAGTTCGGGTGAAGCAAAGTTCGGGCGAAGCTAAGTTCTGGGTGAAGCAAAGTTCGGGCGAAGCAAAGTTCGGGCGAAGCTAAGTTCGGGCGAAAACAAAGTCCGGGCGAAGCTAAGTTCTGGGTGAAGCAAAGTCCTGGTGAAGCAAAGTTCGGATGAAGCAAAGTTCTGGTGAAGCAAAGTTCGGGCGAAGCTAAGTTCGGGCGAAACAAAGTTCGGACGAAGCTAAGTTCGGCGAACCTAAAGCAAAGTTCTGGTGAAGCAAAGTTCGGGCGAAACAAAGTTCGGGTGAAGCTAAGTTCGGGTGAAGCAAAGTTCTGGTGAAGCAAAGTTCGGGCGAAGCTAAGTTCTGGGTGAAGCAAAGTTCGGGCGAAGCTAAGTTCGGGCGAAGCAAAGTTCGGGTTCTGGTGGCAAGTTCGGCGCCAGTACCCCGGCCCCCCCCGGCCCCCCCCCCAGTGGTGCAAGCACCACGCGCTCTTCAAACCCAAGAAACATTTTCCCCCCGACTCCGTTTCCCGTGGTGACCCAAATGCCGCGAGATACTGAAAAACTCCGCAAAAACGAAATTTTCGGGCACATTGGGGGTGGATTCCCGATACATCACTCATTTACACTTCTTTCCCAATACATCACTCATTCACACTTCTTTCCCGATACATCACTCGTTCAAACTTCTTTCCCAATACATCACTCATTTACACTTCTTTCCCGATACATCACTCATGTACACTTCTTTCCCGATACATCACTCATTTGCAACTTCTTTCCCGATACATCACTCATTTACAACTTCTTTCCCGATACATCACTCATTTGCAACTTCTTTCCCAATACATCACTCATTTGCAACTTCTTTCCCGATACATCACTCATTTACAACTTCTTTCCCGTTCGGGCACTCATTTGCGTTTGGCTGAAGTTCAGACTCAAAGTCAGGTTTCCACCGAATTCTGACAGTGTCGTGTCACTCGAATGTCATCATGAGCTACGGAAAAGAACATAATAGGGGCCTGAGGTGTGTCACTTGAACGTAAAATGCATTCGACGAGGATTTAATTTGTGTACAGTGACTCAAAAAACTGACCGAAATCAGGAAAAGGAAAAAGGTCGCTCCAGCCCGGAGTCCGAGTCCAGGAACGTGACGGTCAACCACAGCTTGCAAAGCTTGAGTCGGAGGCAGCACAGTGCTACAACCCCGTCCGATCTGCGACCGTCTCGACGAGCTTGTGCTCAGCGCAAGCGGCAAGCCCCAAAGGTGCGCCTCACGACTTGATCATCAAGTTGATGCCTTAGTTGGGTAATCGACCCGTAGCCCGTCACTGCACGTAAGCTTGGCTCCCGTGTAGCAGGTTTTCCCTGCGTACCAGGCGAGCGCGGCCGGGCTGAGTTCACCGCGCACAAGGTCGAAGTGCAGATTCGCGTAGTGAATTAGCACAATCGGGTTCGGCCTGTGCGATTTGCCGACCGGCATGACGAACCGGCTGCCATCTCCCTGAATAACGAAGAGGATCAGGGCTCTGTTGAACAGAGTGGTGGCGAACTCCATGGCGGCATCGTCAGCCCATCGGAGCGGCTCAGCCATCGTCAGCAGCCACCCAGCCGGAGGCGTGCCCTCGGGCAGCAACGGCGCGACCAACAACTCGCGATGCGAGGCCGCAAACTCCACGATCTTGCGGCGGGTCATCTCCACGTCTAACCCGACCCGGCGTCCGACAGCGTGGAAAAAACAGGCCCCGTCCCACCGAATACAGCAAAAATTCTCAAAAACTTCAAACCGAAAAAAACACTTCGCGCGGGGATCGAACCGCGAACCTTGGGGGAGACCGTCGCACTGTTGAAGTGGACCATACAGGCATGAAATCCGAAAAACGGAAAAAGCCAGCTCCGCGCTATTATCTAGTACAAAACAGTACAGTAGAGAAAAGTGGGGTTGGCTCGAATAGAGGCTATTCACATTGCATGTTCATAGGACCTCCAGTCTCGAAATACATATAAACGCGGACAACAGACCGGTACGGGCTACAAGGCAATCCCTGCTCAACTTGTAGAACGTGGGGGGCCCAAGACTACACTACACGAAGGAATGTACTTGGTGTCGGTCACAAGCAGTCCCGGACATGGCTAGCCATAACCCATAACGAAAGCGTGCACGCAATATACAACCCGTAACCACATAGCCCTTTCTTGCTCTAAGAGAACCCATTCATGAACGGTCACACGGAGACCCTAAAACCCCGGAATTTCAAGCGAACTTTAACTCTAAAATAGGCCAAAATCTGAGAAAATCGGCCAAGCTTGACCAAAAACCGGCCAGAAATCTGGACACAAGGGTAAAAATGGCCGAAATCTGGAAAAATCGGCAAAAAATGGCCAAAATCTGAAAATTCCCAAAAACCGTTATTTGCGGATTTTTTTCCGTTATTTTGCGTTTTCGACCGTTATGTAACGTTATATAACGTTATCACCATAACGTTATATAACGTTATATAACGTTATCAACCGGCCATCTATGCAAGACCAGACTGTAAGAGCCGAACCAAACCACCGCAAAAAAAGAAAGTGCCGTTTGTGGCGGTCGAGGTGGTCGTTGACGAGGTGATGCAGACACCGCAAAGTGTACCGTATACTGGATGACGCACGAATGGTTGAAGAAACATTTAGGCTTGGAGGTACGGCGGGGAAGCGAGGCGCCGCCACTTTGCACCGTCCGGTGCTCTGATACACTTCGCAAATACAACACATCACAACCCCCCGAATCAACAAAACCCCAAGATCCACACCGTAAGCGCCCGAATCAAACCACCATGGCAAAAAAGGAAAATGCCGTTCGTGAAGCTCAAAGTGGTCGTTGACGAGGCGATGCGGACTCCGCAGAATGGACCGTAAACTGGATGACGCGCAATGACAAATGTTTGAACAAGGGATTAGACGTGGAGGTGCAGCGGAAGCGAGATGCCGCCACTTTGCACCGCCCGGTGCACTACAGCTCGCAAACCCGACCCGCAACACATCACAAAAACGACCCGAATCAACGTAACCGTACGAGCCCGAAAAAAAAAGAGAAAATGCCGTTCGTGCGTACGGCTGCGACGAACACGGTTCCAATCCAGTTAGTGGGTGGTTGACGGCGGCGCATCCGCAGCAGCAGCGAAGTCAACCACCGCCACCGTCCACGCGCTGGCGGGGATGAACACGAAACCTTCCGAACCACGGAGAAGAAGAAGAAGGCAGAGGAGAACCGGGGGTAGTGAAGCAACGAACCCGCGGGGTATCGGCACCAGTCTGTCGTGAGCGTGCCACACCTGGCAAAGACAAGCACATTTGGCCAGACGTGCAGGAGATTACTTGCGCACGTGCCAGGCAAGCACCGGCACCTGATCCTGACCCAAGTTTCGGGGAGTTTCGGGGAGTTTCCCTGTTTGGGCCCCATGCGGCTACCTCGCTGGCACTTGCGGTCATAATGGGGAAATTAGCAACTTTAATAGCATAATGGGGAAAATAGCAAACTTTAATAGCATAATGGGGAATGTCCCCAGTCACGATGCAGAGGAAGGTCTGAAGGTCGTGAGTTCGAGTCCTGCATGTGACACTTTTTCGGGTTCAAAAAAAGCCAATCCCGCACGGACAGTATGCGGCAATGTGCGAATACCAACGGCTGGTAGCTTTGCTTGAGGAAGCAGCACAACAATGAATTACCACTCTACTGTAGGGTGGCAGCATCCCACCTTGAACAGGCGGAAGAGGCGTTCGAGAAGCTGTCCTGATACCTGGGCCCCGCAGACTAGAAATGTGCTGAGCTCCTCCTTTGGAAAAAAACATCGAAATGTTTCAAACCGTTACACCGCGATTGTAGTCACGCCCTTGCACGCCATCAGGCGTCTTTTTTGGTCTCGGTCTTTTTTGAAAACGGTCTTTTTTTGACAGGTGCCATTTAGGGGGGTAGGTATTTCGAAATGTAAATACCCCCCTTCATTTCTTTTGCATCTCGCATTCAATGCACACCACTTTCAACACAGGCCGATTCACCCTTCTTCACTGTCAACGCGGCGGATGCGAGCGAATTAGCGGACAAAGCCACAGCATTGGTGGCAGGTACTCCGCTTGGCCACCCTGTGAAGCTGTCGGTCCTCTGCGAGAATGATGAACCGAGCCGGAGCGTGCCTACAGACCGCATCTCGCTGCACATCACCTCTCAGGCGATGCCGTCCTGTCTCTCCTTCCCGGGCCCCGTCGAGCCTTCTCAGTCGAAGACCAAAGCTGACACCGACGGACTGCCGGCCGTAGTCGTTGCGTTTGATG